TGGTTTGGCATGTCCTTTTTAAATATTGATAGGTATTTCCAAACTGCTCTGCTTTGAGTGCAAATTTTTTCCCTACCACCTACAAATGAGAATTCACAGTAGATTTTTGGCTGAGTTTGGCTGGCATTTCTGAAGCAATATTTTAGATCTCAAAGTAGTTTTAGTAACTCTTTCATGGACATTACTAAAAATACCAGAAAGAGATCTTTGTTCCAAGGAGGCTTCAATGGGGGCAGTGATCAATCCAAGACCACCTCATTAGTGAGAGCCAAGCTGGGAGGTTTGTAGATATCTGAGACATTGCCAAGATGTCCATAGCATGATCTCTCACATTGGCTGGTTTTCTGAATTTGTTGGAGGGACAAATGAAAAGAGGTCTTTTTGCCTTTGAAAGAATTTATTGTGACATTGAGGGGAAAAAGTCCAATTAACACTTAGGTAGTAATCAAGGAGGAAATCAGGTCCCAAGAAGAAATCCTGCCTGTGGTCACCAAAGGTGAACTAGGTTGTCTGGGATAGCCCTCGCCCTGGCCTTGGGCAGAGAGGAAATTTCACGTAGGAAGGAAGGAGAAGAGAGAGAGAGAGAGAGAGAGCACCTTGGGCAGAGAGGAAATTTCACGTAGGAAGGAAGGAGAAGAGAGAGAGAGAGAGAGAGAGAGAGAGAGCGCTCAGAGTCCAGCTTTGTTGTCCATGTTCCTTGAAAGGGCACTGCTTCTCAGAATCCAGGTCCTTTCTGGGTAGGGAATCTTTTGGACTCATTTCTCCTGGGAGTATCCCGAGGTTGTCCTTGTAGTAACCCCATGCAGGAAATCCCCAACTTCAGTGGTGCTTGTTTCCTTTCTTTTCTTTCTACTGAAGCAACACAATATGATAGGAAGAAGAGGACTATAGAAATAGAGATTTGCATTTGAACCCTTGTTTACCAATTACTACTAAGATGACTGTGGGTGAGTTAGCTTCTTGCTTATCACCAAGGAAACAAATACTTTCCTCATTAGAATGCTGAATGAGGTACCGTTTAATAATATATCCTGAAATATAAGTACTCACTAAATATTATTTCCCCATTTTTGTTATTCATTTACATGTTCATTCATGCATTTAGTGAGTATTTATTAAGTATTTCCTGTGCCAGACAGCATGCTGGGGCAGCGCTGAAGATGCGAGTTAATTAAGACACGATCATGACCCTCAAGATTCCTACTGTTTACTGGGGGTGACAGACAAGCAGATGATCCTATTGCTGGAGAAATGTGCTCTGAACGGCTTTTGGGGGAAGTACGGGAGGACAGAAGATGGGCACACAACCCAGGATGGGGAGGAAGAGAGTTAGGGAAGACTTCCTGAAGGACATGCTGCTTACACTGTGTATTCTTATAAATTCATGCTGTTGGGGTAGAGTTGGAGGGAAAGACATGCTCAGCAGCCTGGAGATGGCAGGGAGCTTGGTGCATTTAAGGATATGAGGGGAATTCTGGGAACCATGCATGGACTCAGCTAGATGTGCACATCTGCAGCTTAGGTTGGGGCTGTGGTACAGATCGGGGGGGCATCAACAGACAAATATCTTTCCTGAAATGTCATTCCCGGGCTCCTCTTCCTGGCACCTCTGGCCAAGCTCTCCTTGCTGCCCCTTATAATGTGGACATTGGCACCGAAATTGTGTAGACTACTGAGGTGAGAAGGGCAAAGAAGGAAAGGGTATGAGGAGAGAGTGATCTAATTTTAAGCAGCTTTTAAGCATCTGCTCTTCCTCTTGCCTTCCCAGAAATGACATCATGATGTTCTAAGAAAGTAGGGGGTGTAAATAAACTTGGAAATGTAAAAGCAGTTCACTCAAGTCTGGGTTTGTACTGCTTTTCCTTTCTCTTTTCAGGCCCTTCCCCCAGTCTTACCCCACTGCAGGGCTGTTTGGTTTTCCCCCATCACTCTCAACCTGATCTGATGTTTTCTGCCTAGCCACTGACGATGTTTCAGCATCCCCAAATCCTATTGGACAGTGGATGCAGGGCATACTTTTTCTGTTGTGCAGCAGCCAGAGGTCAGAACTTTGGTTTCTAAACACAGGAGATGACAAAAACCTGGAGAGACATTCTGAAAAGAAAATAGAAAATCATATTAAGTGAAATAAGCCAGGCACGGAAAGAGAAATACCATATGTTCTCACTCATAAGTGTGAGCTAAAATAATAAACATATACATAAAAGATAGAAAAGAAGTTAGACAAAATAAATAAATAAATAAAAATAAAAAAGGAGAATAGCAGAGGCCAGTGGCTTCCAGTAAATCAGGCACTCTTTCCCTTCATAGTTACTCTTTTCTTCTGCTGTAGCAACTAGTGATGTTCAAGGTGACGGCTGTTCTATCAGTCCATGTGCTGCAGTAAGAATGACATGCAGAATCCCTGGATGGATGGCAGTGGGCATGTAGCAC